CTGTCCCCAGGGCCCCCCTCAGCCGCCGTTACCGCGGGGCCCGCCGTCCCCGTGGGAGGAGACCCCGGGGGCTGAGGGCTCGGACTCCCCCCACGGCCATTTCTCTTCCAGGTGCCGAGAGACCCCGGGTCAGTTGCAGCAGAGACCTGGAGCTGAAGAAGAACTTGTGGGAGCTGGTCCTCTACCTCGTTTTCCTGATAGACCTAGGTGTAGGTGAGTCTTCAAATGGCTGAGGTAACTCTTTACCAGTAATAAATGCGTAAGCTGTACCTCTTTCAGTACGTACTCCTTTCTTCCACCTGTCTTCCACTTACAAAGTGTCACTTCAGTCAAAATTGCTCAACCTTTTTCTAGCAGCATGGCTTAATGACAGCAGAAGCGGAGAAGCAAGGTTAGAAGCTGTTGCCCTCCTCTCATTCCAGCCTGCGAGCATTCCCTCTTTGCCCCTTCTTTCCAGTGGCGTTTGGCAGGGTGAGCACCGACATGTACCACCTGAACAAAGTCATGTCTCATCTCTTCCTGGAGCCCTCCGCCTCTGAGGACCACAGGAGCGGTTTCAGAAGCATTGTCAGCAGAACAGATTTCTGGACGGTAAGGCTGTCATTGCAAAGATGTTTTCTTGGAGAACAAATCAGGGAAGAAGCTCTTTGTGTTCGGAGCCATACAGTTCTGTAGTTCTAAAAGCCATGTGCTAGATGATGTGCTTTCAGATGAAGAAAGGCAACTAACTTCTTAAAATGCATTTGGAGAAATTCTGGGTACATGCAATAATGCTGATACTTCTGAATAGTCAGTCGAGGAAAACAATAGGCCAATTAATTGCTGCGTATTCTTAATATTAAGCTTGTTCTGAAAAGAGCTTCAATAAAACCCGAAAGATTTTGGGTCTACAGTTCTTTTGACTTCCAGGTGTTAAAAAAAATGTTAATGATTTCCACAGGGGCAGCCAGGAAAATGTAGCATCTTGGTTCAGCTGGTTTGCTGTTACATTACCTCACATTTCAGTAATGGCTGCAAAACACTTATCTCCGTTTTCACTGCTAGGTGGAGGACTTCCCGAAATTACCACTGTTCCCCGCTGACAGCAGAGGGCAAAGTTTCTCACCCTATTTTCCCTTAAAAATGGAAACGCCTGCTTATAACAATTCATTTGGAAGAATTGTACTCCCTTTTATCATGGGGTCTCTTATTGCTAGTACATAAAGTAGCGAGCCCTTGCCGTGAAGCGTGTGTGCTGATGTGATAGAAATGGTTGTAATACATGCTCAGATGGTGCCAGACCATGGGGGCACGTTGTTTTGTACTCAGAACAATGTTCTCCTTAAGTTTAACGCTCTTCATCTGCATCTAAGAAATACCCAGAAAAAGAGGGATTTCCCCTCCCCCCCCTTCAAAAATAAATACTTCTTCATTTAGATTCAGATGACTAAAAACCTAGTCAGAAATATATTCCAAAACATACCTTCAGAGATTAAGATAACCAATACATTTTGTTAAAACATATGTTTGTGTTTAAACATATTTGTTTAGAATTCAGCAGAATTTTTCAAAGAAACCCCAAACAGACATATGTTGTAGTCTTACCCTGAATAATCCCATTACGTATCTCTGGTAGAATTGCATAGGCAATAGAATTGTCTCATAGCAAAAAGATGTAAATATATCATGTTTATAAGACAGTATATAGGTGGGAATTGTTGGTATTGTAGCTTAGACCCTGTAGCTGTAAGTAACCCAAGAACCCTGTAGAGATTAGTATGCTAAAAAGTGGGGTAATAGTGGTATTTAAATAATCTTTTGAAACTTTAACCTCACTCGTACATAGTTTGCAGAGGGACCTCTGTTGGATGGACTCTACTGGGACAAATGGTATGACAACACGACGTTAACCCTCCAGAAAAACAACAGCCATATTTACTATGAGAATTTGCTGTTAGGAGTAGCCCGGATTCGGCAGCTGAAAGTACGCAACAACACTTGCTTCATCTACCCGTATTTCCATAGTTTTTTAGAAGGCTGTTACAGTGAATATCATTATCGAGCCGAAGACAGATCAGACTTTGGTCTAAGGAACGGATCTGAGTAAGTCATCCTACTTTGGCACAGAAATGTTTTTGGAAACCTAACCAAATCCTGAATGCCACTATTCTTCAGTTAATAACAACTGTACATGCAATTAGCTGAGTTTTTCTCTTGTTTACATTGAGATAAACCATGGATTTGGTTTTGTGCCAACATTATAGATGGGAATTTGGCATGGGAAATGTATAGCAGAGAGACAGGAAGAACTGGAAACAGTGAGCCCAGTTCAGCAGAAGCACATGTTAGTGCGTTTATCTCCACTAACATCTCTGGAGAAATGCTCAATTAGATGAGGCCTGAATTTAAATCACATGTTTATAAATTGGAATCATGCTAAAGTGCTCTGGAAACAGAGCCGAAAGGCCTGCTTCACACACTTCATTTAGCATTGATTTAGCCCAGTGAAAGAACATGCCACGGTGACAATGAACTACATAAACCAGAGGTACTCCATTTACCTATAAAGTTTTAAGGCAATGAAACTGTCTGGCCCACATTGGGTAAAATCCAGATTCGTAAGCAATTGCTGTTTTGTGAATGTACTGAGTATTTAGCAAATAAGAAATGTAAATATTTCAGGTCTGTATGTCTCATGCATACTGCATGTAAAGAAAAGTGGTTTTTTAAAGGTCTGGCTTAAATGGTCAGTTGCTGATGTGGAAGAACACAAGAACTAACAATAAAATCAAAGTTAAAGCTTGCTTCAGTCCCGTTTCCATAAGCTGAGCTGCTTCGTTTCCCCATTTCTGATAGATGGAAATACACCTCAGCCTCCTCATTATCCCCATGGTACTGGGGCTCTATAGGTTTCTACAGCAGTGGAGGATATATGTTCACCTTACCTAAATCGAAGCAGGAGAGCGTGGAGAAGTTGGTCTTCCTCAGGCAGAACAGCTGGCTTACTAGAGGAACCAGAGCTGTATTTATCGACTTCTCAACGTACAATGCAAACATAAACCTCTTCTGTGTCATCAAGTGAGTTCTTACCTTTACGACACAGGAGATCCGACTTACTGACACGTATGATGCTTCCCTGAGCACACAAGGAACGGCTGCTCGCCTCAGGCCTGTGTAGCCGTGTTTCTCAGGTAGCAGCTGGCAAGACAGTAATTCATTAAAAACGCAGAAATTCAGTTATTGCAGGGAGCAGACTCGGATCCTTCTTTTCTGTTTTTGTTGTTTGGTGGTTTTGGTGTTTGGTTTTTTTTTTTTAAATAGTTGGTGTCTGGTCCGTACAGCTGGTTGCTGCTGTCTGTCAATAGATTTCATAACCTTTTGCAAGGTCAAAGACTGGATTATTAGTCCTGTTGTCAGCTAGTGGAAGGAAGAGACTCAGGGTAGGGTGAACGTTTGCTCTTCTGAGACATGGTTTTGTTAAAGACTGTTAATCAAACACCATAGCTTGGGTATCCCAAGAGCTTCTCGTTTTCCTTTCAGCCCTCCCTAACATGCAACACTCTTCTCATGGGAGACTTAGCATAACCCTTACAGGAAGATCTTACAGACATAGGAGTTCCCGTAAAGTGTTATTAATGTAGTAGTAATTAATGTTAGAAAATCAAGGGCTGAGGTGATTTAAAGAGATGGCAACTAACACCAGTCCCCAATTTCTTTCAGGTTGGTGGTAGAGTTCCCTGCCACCGGGGGTGCTCTCACCTCCTCACATATCTACTCCGTGAAGCTCCTCCGATACATCACATACTATGATTACTTCCTGGCTTCTTGTGAAATCTCCTTTTGCCTCTTTATCGTTATATTCATAATCCAGGAAGCCACAAAAATAGTCAAAATGAAAGAGAAATATTTCAGAAGTGTCTGGAACTGGCTGGATTTGCTGCTGCTGGTGGTGAGCTACCCCTTGACTTCCACCCCTGTCCTTGCCAGCCGAGGCTAGCACCGGGTAGAC